CTATATATATATATATATATATATATATATATATATATTAGTGGCACCACTAATGAATTCATTGTTAACTTTTTTTTGTTTTTATATTGAAAACTCTTGTTTAGTTTTGATGGTCCTTGGGATAATCCCAACAACATTTGATACACATGAACAGTAGAAAATTTAAAAGTAATTTAAAAGGATAATTAGAAAAATTATTTGTATCACAAGATTAAAAATATATTTATGGGAGAAATGTAAGTTTCTTTAAAGTAGATTATAGGATCCAGTTTGTGTGGTCAAAATGCAATGTATAAGAAAAATGGAATTCAATGTTGAAAGATACGAAATTAAGTTTAGAATTGTCATATATATACATACACACAACACAGAAAAATTCCTATAGGCATGTAACATTTTTTATAAATACAACACTGTATAAATAATACAGTTTTAAGTGAACTCCCCAAATAAAATGTGACAGACATGGCTTCTACAATCCCTACCAAATGTACATCTGTATAATAACAGTAATTAAAACATCACATTTGTATCCTCCAGTATTAAACAACACGTTAGTACAGATATTATAGAAAAGTTTTTGACTGTTTGGTTTTAAAACCCACAAGTCACAATTAAACTTGCTCTTTAATCCTTTAAAATGTGAGAACCATTTTCCAATATGATTTACATACTGACATTCTTCTCATAATCAAGTGAATAAATAAGGTAATGAAAAATCTACCACATTGACTGTCTTAGTATTACTAACTCAGAACAAAGTAAGAGTTTTTATGGAAATGTTTTACACTATACTGTCATATGTTATTTAGGTATTCAAAAACATTTTAAGCTGGAATGAATGTTGCACCTTTATTGATCAAAGCCATTTTAAACATGAATGATTTTTACATATCAAACTCTACATTTACTAAATATAAATTTATAGTATAGCACTTCAGCATGTTATTTCTTCCTATACTTCAAGGTCTAGTAGAGGAAAATCTAGTCTTTGTTCAATCCACTTGGCTACAGTTAGAAGAGTTTGTTCGTGAAAGCAGGGAGCCATCAGCTGAAGGCTGATAGGAAGCTGCTGACTAGATAGCTTACAGGGAAAGCTAACAGCAGGAACACCTATGGAGAAAAAATTTGGCTTATATAATCTCGTGTAAAATAAATTGTACATTTTCAATATTTTTATTACAATTTGAAATAATCAGATTTTACAGGAAAATGAAAAATATCTAAACTAAAAAAAAGTATTTTTGTCAACAGGATGCAATCAAACATTCAATAGACTGAATGTTTTGCAGTCCAATTTTGAAATTTTCTGTTAAAAACATAAAAAAATACCATTAAATTATATTTTACTTGTCAAACATTACTATAGTTAATAACTAAACACATGTAATCAGAAAAATAAACTTACTTTAAAAAACGTATTTGTTCCTCTTTTATTAAAAATGAAAATAATGTTTAAACAGTTGTCAAGTAACAGAGAAATAAAATATAAGTCAAAGTATTAAAATAATATTCACATACATTATCACATTAAGCTATAGAGAATTAACCAAGATGTGAAAGAATTTAATTGGCAGAAAAATCAATTATCTGAATATGTTGGCCAAGTGTTTCTGCATAAAAAAAACAAAAGAAACTGACACATTCTCTTTCCTTAAGTTATTCAAAATAGTTAATGCATAAAATGTTATAGGATTTCCAAAACAAAGTGATCTTTTAAATGATGAATGGCTCAACCACCAGATAATACCCTCAAACATGATAGAAGCTCAAACTTTCATTTAAGTTGCTTGATTGCTATTCAATATCTTTCACCTTTTCTAAACTGCTATATATATTACATGACAAATATAAACAAAAAATAAGGTGTTTAGTTTTGTACACCAAATAAAAGAACACCTGACAGCAACTGAAGTTCAGTATAATCTATTTTATGTAGCTATCTTTCTCTACTTCCTTAATTTTATCACTTTGAAAACTTTACGTTTTCAAAAGTTCTAAGTTTTGGTAATATTAATAAACTTTCTTGTTGTCTATGTTCCTGAAAAACATAAATAAACAGTAAAAATCCTCAGCTGGCAAAAATGTTTCCTGAAGGGAAGAAAAAGTGGTTAGTAAACTAAGTACTTGAAATAATGAAAGTTTCATGATGAATGAACAATAAAAAAAAAAGTTGAAATTTGTACTTAAGATCAGGAAATGAGGAAAAATTTGATACATATCAACAGCAAGCTAAATTCACTAACCAGCCATGTTTGCAGGTTGGGTACAATAGTCTTCAATGGAGGACTGTTGTCTGCTGTCCTTGAGCTTCCACAAAGAATAAGGTGGAGAGTCTGTTAATGTTACAGGAGTTAATATAACATTGACTCCCTTCTCAAAAACCCCAAGAAAGTCATTACTAATCAGTCGTCTGACCTTAAGTGCTTTTTGAAAATATTTATCATAGTTTCTGAAAGAAAAATAAGATTACTTATAAGCTTTAAAACTTAGAAATTGTTACACCTAAAACACAAAGAGATGATGTCGTGTAAACAGAAACACAACTCGTGCATTATTTAAAATATGTATTTTACATTCTAATAATTCTTCAATGAACAATATACTATAATTAAGTTATTGGCTTATAAAATGTTAGCCAAATTGATAAAAAATTAAAACTGTATTTGACAGAAATAATGATCAATGCCACTTACTTGTGTAAAACTATCAAATAAATTAAGTGAAAATCAATTTGTGGGATTTTTACCATAAAATTAAGTTAATATCAGTTTCTACTGCAGTAGTAACAGTTTGGTAAATATATAAAACAGAGTGATAACTTTGACCTTTTGACCTCAGTTTTCTACTTGTAAAACATTTAAAAAAAGGATGTGATGTGGCATGTTTTATTATCTTAAACTGATCTCTTGACTTTACATCTAATTTACTTTTAACACACCCTAGGAACAATTTGTATGTCATATTTTGGGGCCTTATATAAATCTTTTGTTTTGAAAATTATTCTACTCCTAATACATCTCATTAACATGAGATATGTTCTGTGACCTTGTTTCATTTGTTACTTAGCAATTATGCAAACATAAAATGGTAAATGAAAGAAGATGATTACAGAAAAATCCAGACTTATGAAATGTGGGTAACACTGCAAATGATAAATTATCTACTACTGAAGCATGTCTACTTTTATCGTACAGAGATACCACTGAATATTACATGATATAATTAACTATGAAGTATTCAAAGTTGAGAACTGATACACATTGTGTGATTGTAATCTTCATTAAACTATACACTTAAATAAGAACTTCAGAATTAAAATGCTTTAAAGGGAAAATATTAGAATCAGAAACATACATACAAGGTCTAGTGTCTCAAATTTTGAATACTGTTCTTGATGTCAAACTTGCTGGTAAGAACTTAAGAAAATCTCAGTAAAGAAACAGATATTACATATTTTTTAAAGAGTAAAATATAATAGCTATAAGTATTATCTTAACTTTGTCCCATGAAGAGACATTTCTAAAGACAAATTAAATCATAACATTTTATAAAACAATACAATACAGACATACAAAATCACTGAAATTGTAGAATGCAGGCATATTCAGAGTTTTTACACTTATATTTAATACTAATCATTTATGTAAGTGTATGTATTTTAACATCCAAATTGGTGGAGGAAGTAACTAAGTTTCTTTTGCCCTAGTTACCTATTGTTCTGGATCATTCATTTTATTATAATGGAAAAGATTTCTGTACAGTTGACCATGCAATGTGAAAGTACACAGTGATCAGTGATGTTTTACAATAATGAGTCAAGTGATACCTTGAGGATATGACCTCCCTTATTTTTCAATGGGAATAACCAACAGTGATGTGGTTAATCCAAATGGTCTGAAAATAATAGGATTATCGTTTCATGTATATGATGCTATGTTTTCTCAGTCTGGAACAGACTTTTCTCTGTAGTTCAGAAGATTCTTCTTTCTCACAGAAACCTCTGGAGTGTCTAGTAAAGGCATTGTCCTCATTAAATACATTCAGTTGATTTGTTCGTGTGTTTAATAAAGACTGTTTCACAATGTCACACATTGTGTCTAGTCTCCTTTATTTTTCACAATTCAGTTAGTGTCAAAGAATACAATTTAACCCTATATAAAATTTTATGCTGAACATCATATTATTATGCAAATCCTATGCTATTACTCATGAGTGAAATCATGCACCTGGGAATACAACAGAGTATGTAAGAAGAAAAGAATTTTGGTTCCATAATCAAAGAATTTGTTTTTGCAAGGTGTCTGGTTTTCTCTTGATGAGTGAATTTCCCTGTGCTCTTTTAAACTCTTGCATTATTGAATTTAAGGCTTTGTACTTGAAGAAACATTACTTTCTATGAGTCAAAAGTCTTATGCTCAGAGGAAAGAGCTAGTTACTGAGGACAGATGGCTTTGAGAGAGTTTTTAGGGTTTCAGTGAAGTTCTCTCTTGGACACTGAACTTTCACCAATGTTGCAATGGAATATAGCTTCTTTATCACTGTAGCCATTATTAAATGGAAGAACTGCAAGAGCTTGGTGTACCCAGAATCACTGCTCAAGTTTTCCTCCTGAGAATCAACCTCAGCATGCAGGAGACACAGACAACTGGAGAACTTTGTAGTGCTGTGCAATCTGGAGATTCTCAGACTGATTGGGCAGTCTCAATAGAGGTTCCAAGCATTTGCCAACCAGAGTAGCTAAACCTCAGCTCTTATCAATGCCACTTGAGAGTAGCTAAGATAGACTGGAGGTGATGCTAGTGGATGATGTCTGCTAGTCTGAGGTATTTCAGCAGCAGACAAGACAGACAGCGAGCGTCAAGTGATTAAGATGACAATTCATGGGACAGTCATGAGCCTTACCATGATGAGAGGTATATGGGAATCATGCTGAGTCACCTATGGTAACTCACCCAAAGGCAAGAACATAATGCTCTTTTGAGTGTTGGAGTTCCTGAATATGCCCATTTCACTGCATACCTCTGATATTTAATGAGTCTCAGTCTATTATTGCATGAGTCCATGGATGAAAGGTTTATACCACAACCACAGATCCCTGTGAGTGAGGTCAAACACATATCTCCTCTGATACTTTAGGGTTTGGCTAAGGAAGATCTCAACAGTTTCCTGAGATGTTTCATGTAAGTCACTGCTTGTAACGGCTGCACTCAGAAACTGACAATGCAATGCTTGATCTTGAGTTTGAATGGTTCAACCTTGATTCCATCAAGCACTTGAAAAAGGAGCACAATGTTGCCAAGTTGTACTGACATTTAGAATCAATGGAAGAAAGGTCCTATCAAGAGCTTGGCTGCTTACATGAACAGTCTGTGCCATTTGCATGAGAAGACAACAGCTTTGGCAGATTCTAAGGATACTGAATGACAGATTATATAGTGAGGTAAAGAAGTATCAATTCAGTGTGTGAGACATTTTCACACTAACAGAAGAAGTTTCTGTGGCATTAAAGTTCAAAGTTTTAACATTAAATAAGTCATAATATAGGATAAATCCTGTCACAGCAGTTGCAGTAACTATACCTCTGATAGACCACTCTCCTGAAATCAATGCATCATGCCATGCTCAAGATTCGTCAAGGGCAAACCAGCAGCCAACACAACTCCACTGGCTACCAATGAGTGGACAAAGGCTTCTTTAGTCCTCCCTTGATATTTGTGCTGTAGCTTGTGCTGAAAATGCTACCATCAAGATGGAAGGGAAGACTAAAGCATCTTGGTCACTTTAGTGATCTGCCCATACTTTGCACAGACAGGAGGGTTAACCACAAGCTCTAGTTGCTGTTACTTTAGTTCCAGCAAAATAGTAGAGCCCAAGTTTGGTTTAGCCACTGGCTTGGGAAAATACAGTAGACAGTGTGCATCAAAAGGTTTGTGGTCAACCCATCTCTCTCTCTCTTAGAGCTGGGTGGCACTTGTATGTGCTCCTAAAGGTAGAGGGACAAAAGACAGAGTTCTTAGTTCATACAGGAGCTGACAGGACAGTGGTTAACCTTACTGCATATCAGGTGCTAAGAGTGAATCCGCCACACTAGCTATTTAATACTGCTGACTTCTTTTTTGTCAAATGGTGATCAACTGGATTTTACTTTAGTGGCACATCTCCAACTACATCTAGGTGACTATCTACAGCCTTGGTACTGATATTGGTATCCTAAGGATAGATGTATTGTGTAAAATGTTGGTCAGTTTTACATGTGCAAAGATTGACTGCATTTCTGTGGGAAAGTCATCAATTGCCAACCAGACCAAACCTATGAAGAGTGGATCACACAAATGTATGGTGCACAGGAAGTTATAGTACCTCTGTGTACACAAGTGGTGTTCCATAGTTTACTGTTGACAAGATCTAATGTGTTGGTGGTGTGTAATGCAGTGATAGAGCCAATGCATGAAATGCAGTTTCCTCTCCAGAGAGTAGACAGCATTAGCTCAAACAACGATCTATATGAAAATGGATGAAGTACTGATAACCAGCATGTTATACCTTTTTTTTTGCTGGAATCGTTGTTGGTTTTCAATCTGTCCAAGTAAAAAGGCATCCAAATTACGAAAATTACTCTCAGGAAAATCTGGAGAATGCAAAAAATCTTAATTCAGAAACCAAGAGCTTACAGGGCCCTAAGGTGAGCCCTAGACCTCAGCCATAATGAGTGCACCTGTGATACATATTCTCTCACTTTGCTCCGTCAAATAACCCTTGAGCTCACCACTTTTAATTTGCCTTCCACACCTCTAGATAATGGTACTAGAGGTAAATGAAACTAGTGGCACAGCTAGTATTGCTTCTATAGCATTTTATTTCAGAGCAAGTGCATGGTTGTGAAGATATCTGAGATTGCTAGTGGAGCAATCTGGATTCAATACAGTAGAAGAATCTCTCAGTGACTTGTTAGTTGCATATATCAATGTATTTATTGGATCATGTGGCTGATTGGGTTGAACAAACATAACTAATTATCATGTAGATACATATCCAATTAATGTAAAGCTTCCCTGGAGCACTAAGAATGTAGTCAGTACTGAGACACAGCTCAAAGTGCTGACTATGACACTAGGTCAATGATATCTAAAATTTATTCTCTTTAATGACACTCAATATGTATTTAATTGTATTTGATATGAATCAAGGCTTAATTTAACTTTATTTACTGAAAATGTATTCCTGATAAGTACTTCCTTCTTCTCACAAGATTAGCTATTCTCGTTCAATGCTGCCTTCTATATACAATTTTTTTCTTTACACATGCCACAAGCCTTCTGCTCCCCGTCTTAGAATTGAATGATTCCAACATGTTTCTCATGTAAATCATTATGCAACACTTCTACACCAATAGAAGCATGACATATTCATGTGATGCATGCGACTCCCTCGAGGTTTGACAGAAGACATAAAAGCACTGGAGGAAATTGCAAAGGAAGGGTGGGAAGTGTGAGTGGAAGGAAGTACCTATCAGAAATATATTTGCAGTATAGGAAAATTATAACTTCCAATATGGTACTTCCCTCTTCTCACAAGATTAGCCAGAATCCCACACTGATTAGGTGGCAGGGCCAGTGCGAAGGAATGACAGAAGTAGCATCTGAAAACATCCAAAGGATACCCCAAGAAATGAGAGAGTCAGATCTGAAGAGGGAAACTGCACTACTTCTGAATCAGGTATGCTCTTCGCCCATCCATGAAATGTGTAGCAGATAAAGGTGGAAAGAGAGAGGAGCACATCTAAGTGGGAGAGAACTGTGGCAGGATAGTAATCCTAACCATGTAAATATATATGTAACTCAATCCCAAAAAGTATAAAAGTGGGTAAAACAATGGATGTGCCCCTCGGTGTAGAGCGGCTAGGGCATGATGGGCCATACTCGGTAAGTCAACTACATCCAAAACCCATGATGCTGGAAACTGACATCCATGCAGGGGTAAGATGAGGATCATACCATCTTCATTTCAAGTTCAAGAGACTGGGGGAAATCTAGAACCACTCTGACTCCTAAGTATGACATGTGTTAGCTTTGATCTATCTATCTGAAGACCCGACATCTGGTATTGAAAGGATGTCTATATAACATAATTCAACTCCCCAACAGTGAAATTGTCAGGAACCATCCGAAAAGCAATAACATCCTCGGAATAATATACAATGAGGGATAGCAAAAAGGACAGAACTGGAACAATCCCCCTTACCTCCACTGTGACCCACAACACAGAAGGAGTATGATAAAGGGAGGAATATAGACAACTATAACCATGCGTGAGGAATTATGTTGATTGGTTCTACTCTAAATCCAAAGTCCAGTCTCAGGTTACCAACATTCATGCAGGGGTAGAATGAGGGCTCCCTACTGAAGGGGTGAACTGCAGATTGACATTTCACTCCTTAGTGAGTGTATATTGCATATTGGTGGATAGCACATCATCTACACCCGCAGAACACCACCATCCTACTCTGCACTGAATGGTTATAGCCGTCTTTGTGTGGAACCCATTCAGGAGGGTGCCTCCACAGTCAACAACACCAGTGGCTTCGAACTGGAAAGTGGTAAGGACTCCCATACTCCACTAGAAGAAAGGGGATGAGAATGCAGTGGAAAGTCCAGAGGAACATTATCACCTGATACAGTGCAATGGGTGACCACAAAACCTCATTTTGAAAAGCAGACCATACCGAGTTATTCAATATAAGGCATGGCAGTGATGGGCAGCTATCACCTTCTGCTTTACCCATGCAGCCCATGGGTGGTATGATCTGGATCGGGCAAGTTTATGAAGTAATTACATCGCAAGGTTATTCACTTACAAGCGAACTCTGTGGAACACCCCATTTGAACAGGGAGCATTGCAAAGCCATGGAAGATAAAGTACGAGTCAACATTGCTGTACAGTGCAGATTTCAAGTTCAAGAATACGTGGTCAGACATCACTCACCACATAGTGTGATTCATATAATGAGTAAATGAGGCAAGGGCCCCTGAAAAGAAAAGTATGAATATAAACTTACCCAGTCAAAGTTGCACTGAAGCCTAAAGAATGGCCATAGGTGAAAGACAGAAACATGATGAAGAAGAAACCATGATATGGTGTAAATAATGGGAGATGAAAGTATTAGGTGTAGTCCACATGCCAGACTGTAGGATTTCCTCCAATGGATGACAAAGATGATATGCAAGGGAAAAGGTGAGGAGTCGAATCTGATGAGAAGACACCTGGAACTAATTCTAGGAGGAAGAAGACAAGAAGAAATAAGCCAATCGAATCAAAATTCGAACCCAACTGGTGAGGGTAGAAAGGGAAAGATCCCAAATAGAGGAAGGCTGCCAAGGTATAAAGAGTCGGGAATAGCAATATAACAATGAAGGGTACGTAACGGACATAAAAGTCTATCTGGATTGGGACGAGGATAGAAATGAGAAATAGAAGGAAGGGAAATAGGCAAAAATGAGGAGTTACCTCCCCCCCCCCTGAGGTCTTTGGGAGGAAGGAAAGATCCGGATAAAGCAGAAAATAAGTAGGGTGGAGTGTATGTGAAATGTTAATGGCAAAAAAAATCAGACCTTTGACATCCACAGGCTAAGAGAAGAAGGAAGTCCAATAATGCAAAAGTGAGAATGGTGGAATCAAAACACCAGAGCATGAAGATGGTGAGCAGAAGCTTTGACCACCCGACAGAAGTAAGCCTGAAGGGTAAAGTGTAAAATTGATAAGCCACCCGTGGTGGACAAACCAAAGATATGGACGAGACTGTGGTGATGTCCATCTTAGTCATCCATAAGCCCAGAGAAAATGGCCACCGTAAAGTGAGAAATGACTCAATGGTAAAATGGGGCAGTTGAATGAAGCGATTGAAGTGGGACAAACTGATGACAGGCCTCCAGTCCCCAGTTTTCTTGAAAACAACAAATAGTCTGTAATAAAACCTGATGAAGAATAGGTTTGATGGCCTGCTGAGATAGTTGTTCCTGAACTACCTCTGATAGATGCTGGATGGTCATGGGATTTCAAAGCAGAAGGAAGGAAATGGGTATAGGTAACATGGGACATGAGGAAAAAACGGGATCACAATTCCTTTTGATAAAAACTTGAAAAACCCAATTATCCTTGATGAAAGGACACCAGTGCTGAAGAAAATTGGCAAGCCGAGCTACCACCAGACCAGAACCCACCGGGTAGTCATGGATATTGTTGGCAACATGACGAGTGTCATCGAAGAAAATGACAAGACAAGACACCCCAAGAAGAAGGGACAGGTAAGGATTGGGAAGGGGAGAGACGAGAAATCGTAACAGGTGCCATATTAGGCTCTAACTGAGACAAATGGGCCAACAAAGTTGGAAGGAGTAGACTGTTGTTGTACTAATACAACTCGTGATTCCAAAGACTCAGCGATTGTGTCAAAGATGTATCATTGCAGAAATGGGGCCATACATAAGTCCAGAAGATAAAATGATGGTAAACAAATGCGAGTTAAGGTCGCATCCTGACCTAGAAGGTCTAAGCAACAGAGAAACCATGTATGTAAGGACAGAGCCGAAGAGAACAAATGAGCCAACGTGGAAGAAAGAAAGGAGAGGATGTCTCCAGAAAACCCTTCAGGATTTTGGTGGAGAGCCTCAGAGAGGAGATGGATGGTAGAGAGATACCATAAAAGAGTTGTGAGGGTAAGACAAAGGTGGGAAAATTGGGCATGTGTCAGACTTACAGGAGGTTCAGGGGCTGCACCCCAAATAGGCAAAATGGAACCTAAGAAGTGCTGGTTCAGAAAAGGAAAGTCTGCATGATGATATGCAAAAGCAAACTGATCCAAAGCCTGTGGAAATGAATTGTGAGGCAAATTGGTCAGCATGTACCTAAATATCTGGGAAGGGGAGAAAACCAAAGAGGGATGGGAAGATTGGTCATGTAGTAAGGAAGAACGTGGTTCATAGAAAATAGAGGAAAGGGATAAAACGTCACATACTTGAGAAACAAAATCCAAAAACATCATATTTGGCCTAACTGACTTCTCAGGCAGGACATGGGAAGGCACAGCAAATCAGAAGGTGTTAATAGGCGATCCAAGTCCTTGTCTGCTGCTCAGGTTGTTCAGGAGGAAGGGGGTGAGGTCCGGAAACAGAGGTTGATCCATGTAATGTTCAATCTCCCTGCAAATAAACTCAGATAAATCCCACACTGGGTCACCCTCACCTGAGGCCTTAGACATAGCGCTAGTCGCAGATGTGATCTCCGTATGTGGTAACATGAACTTCAGAATCCATAATAAGAATGAGTCAACCAATAATCAAAAGTATAAATAACAATGCAACTGTAATAAACTGGGATTAAAGTGAGGAAATAATTTTAACAGAAACTACAAATGAAAATAAATGAAAACCACTTCTTGAGTATACTAAAGACAAACGTCAAACTTCAAACAAACAAAAAGGAACATATCCGAGCACAAGCCCTGCCAAAACGAGAAGTGATAGTTCGGTAGAGGTACATAGAGGGAGTCACATACATCACACTCCTATTGGTGGAGAAGTGATGCATGATGATTTACATGAGACATGTTGGAATCATTCAATTCCAATAGGGGGAGTAGAAGGCTTGTGGGATGTGTAAAGAAAAAAATTTGCATATAAAGGGCAGCACTAGACAAGAATAGCTAATCTTGTGAGAAGAGGGAAGTACAATATTGGAATAAAGTAAATATGGAAAACAAGTCTACATATTGATAAAATAATGCCTCTGAGAGTAAATATACAATTTAATCTTTCTAAAAAAACAGTGTTAATGTTTTGTTTTACGTTTTTATCTTCAAATAATCAATGCAGCTGAAATAAGTATTAAACTCATTCACTGAATTTGACATTTTATCACCTTTTTTTCTATAGAATTAAAAAAGCATTCATGTCATATTACAAATACACAGTTGTATGTTAAATTGGTGTGTAGTTCAAAACAGTTTAAGTAGCACTTTTATCAAAACGTTCTTTTTCCATAATATGAATAATAACATAATTGTTTAAAGGCACAAAAATTCTTACTATTATGACAGTTAAAAAATTGAATTACAGCCTTTCTAATTTAAGAATATATATTCATCCATACCTTTTTAAAAGAAAATAGTTTCCTGCTAAAATTCTTCCTCTCACTACCTCATTGAAACCTTCATGACGAGTAGCTGCATACAAACTTTCTGTAGAGGATTCATTTGTTGCTCGATGACCTTGGTAGAAGCCAACCAGATGTTATTTGTTGATCAGGTAGAGTCTGACATCAACAATATATCAATATACTAAGCTTTACATTTAATATGGGTGTAAAGATTACTCAATAAATTACACGTTTATCACACTGCAGAAGCATTCAAACTTAAAGTAATGCACTAAAGATGTTTATAATTAAATTTCCAATAACCACCTTAAAAAGACAACCACTTGTTCAGGGGCAGATTGAGAGCCTAAAATGGCCTGGGCAAATACTCAAAAATCAGAAAGAGAGATGTACAGTAGGTTAGTCATTAGCACTGGGACAGTATAACGTGGTTATCACCCCACTGGCCCAGGTATCACCGGCCCACTGGGATTTGCCCGGTATCCTGGCGGCCCAATCTGCCCCTGAACTTCTTTTTTGCTGTAGTTATTTCTAAGCTTACAGAATAATTAAATCACAATAACATCAGAAACATATGAAAGGTTACATTAAATCATTTTTATAATATATATGAAATATTTTACATAAGGCTACAGTTATTCAACTAAAAATGTACTATCTTGTGTAATTAGCTTCAAACAACAAACAAGTAATATTCCAATACTTTTTTAATAGTTCTTCAGATTAATAACCAACCAAATGTAAGCCATTTCAATATAATATTTTTATTTAAAATTTATTGAAAAGACTGCCTACAAACTATTTAACCCTTTATGGACTGAATGGGGGGGGGGGGCGTATAACTGATGTCC